GAAACCGTGTACAAATCAGCGCGCGACAGGGGAAACTGAACTGCTCGGAACGGCAAAAACTTTTTTATTCGAGTCATGCCATCCAAATCACACTGGATCTGTTCATCCGACCATATGGCGATTAAAGCCTGTGTTTCCTCGTTTGTCCATCCTTCCATTTTACTTTTTTATATTTTTGTTTCTACTGCTTTTTATTTTGTTTCTCGCTGTGTATTGCAAAAGATGCCGGTTGTACAGTATTTTGTGTTTCAGCGGCAGGCTATTTGCATAACCAATTGACTGCAAATACGTTTGTATTTGTTCCACCCCAAAGTACCGAAGTACCAAAGAAGTACCCCAACTGGTTTGGCACTTTCGGTACTCGAGATTTCGGTACTGGTAGTCTGGTACTCGACCGGAAGTCGATGGAAAAGCGAAAGTACCGTACCGAAAGTACTGTACTTTGTGCGGTGGAAAAGCGCCCTTAAACTCCACACACCTAGAGATGTAACCCAACATCCTACTGGCAAGAGTGGAACATGAAAGCATCAACATACACATCAAGATCTTTCTCATAATCATGCAGCTACCTTTATTTCAATGGAACCCATAAAATGTCTGTATTTTATATTTCTGCTCTCTGCATGGATCACTTTACATTTATCTAGATTAAATTTCATCTGCAATGTATCAGCCCAGTCGCTAATTAAATTAAGATCCCGTTGTAGCCTCTGTGCTGCTAGTTCAGTATCTGCTACACCTTCCACCTTGGTGTCATCTGCAAATTTAACCAGTTTACTGTATGTATTGGTATTAATATCATTAATGTAAATTAGGAATAACAGTGGTCCTAAAATTGAACTCTGCGGTACCCCACTATGAACACAGGCCCACTGTGACATTGAGCCTACAGTATAATAACTACCCACTGCTTCCTGTCTGTTAACCAGTTTTCAATCCAAGCTGCTACAGTTCCTAAAATCCAGGTAATATACCATTTTCACTTGGATTATAGCTTCCATTACTTTTCCAGTTATGCAAGTTAAAGCAATTGCCCTATAGTTTGCTGGATTACTTCTACCCCCTTTTTGAAATATGGGTGTTAAATTAGCATGCTTCCAATCAGAAGGTACAAGCGGATAAATATTTCTGAAATAGTAAAGTTAAAGGTTGGCTAATAATATCACTCATCTCTTTTAAAACTATAGATAAGATGCCATCACGGCCCTGCAATTTATTTATTTTGAGCTTAGCTACAGTAGGCTTTGTACCACATCAGCCTCAGTTATACATACAGTGCCCTCCGCAATTATTGGCATCCCTTTGAAGAAAGGGTAAGAAAAAAATCCACCTTTTGGTGAAGTAGCTTCATCTCACACTGAAAAAATGAGAAAAATCCAGCCTTTCATTGAAAAACGAAACCTTCAAGAAATAATTATTTTTAACAAAAACACATGTGCCACGATTATTGGCACCAGAGCATGTGAGCGGAGTGGAGCGGTGAGAATTTCCACTCCTTGCTCACGAGACTGTTGGCTCCACCTGCTCCTCTCTTATTCACACTAAGCCGCTCCGCTCAACACCGCTCCTCGCTCCACTAAAATTTCCTCCCGCTCCAGTCAAATCGCTC